TGGATACAAACCGACTATTTAGACCATTACAAAGTGTTATATATTACATAACTACCCAGGATATTATAGTTTTATACATACATGAGTACTAAATACAAAAGTAATAGTTTTAACTATTCAAAATCTTCTATTATTATATGACTATACTGGATGCTTGTTACCTGCAATTGTTAAACACTGAGAGGGGTAAGCGGTGACGCTTAGTGAGTTCAATAATAGATACAATATAACGTTATGCCATATATATATACTTCAATATGGCAGAAGCAAAGAGGAACAAGGAACAAAAAAAGCATATGTGAATCATGTGACAAGCTTTCCATATCAATCGATGATTTGATTCAAATATACACAATCTATGAGACATAACAATTTCAATACTTGATATACACTAATAAAGCTTCGACCCAAATGACACAGAAGACATACACTTTCCTGATTAAACATTTTGGTAGATTTCAGGCTTTTAGTCCTATCTAACCTTCTGTCAATGCCATAGAGGTAGAAGTCATTCTCTTACAAGACATGCTCTACACGGCTAGAGGCTACATACCAATACCACTGTGAATCTAAGTCCTTCCACTGATCGCATGGTCAAAGGTACAACTTTGCTACCATAATAGCACATAATAATAACACGGAAAAGCACATAGCACATATAACACATAACATACAATTGTTCCTATATATTGAACTCACCGTGAAATAACAGAATAATAAAATGCTGATTTGGGCAACACTTCGTCTCTAAAAATGACTTTCTTTAACAAAACCGGGGATTTTTGTTGAAAATCGGGCCTTGCGCGAGCATAGTTTCAACTTAAATAGATTATTTTCTCAAAAATTTTGGGGCGTCGGGGCTTGCTTCGGGTGTCGGGGATGATACTAGGACACCAGGGGGTGTTAAAGTAGCTTAGAATGAAGAAAAGAGTGTAAAAAGTGTAAACTTTCCAAACAAATCCGGGAGAATTCGCATACTATTAATTGGAGACCCACTACTAGAAAAACAGCCTTTTACGACGCTCATTGCGCGTCGTAAAAGGCTCAGACGACGCGCAAATGCGCGTCAAGGAAGGCCCTGTCATAAAGATAGACGACGCGCATTTACGATGCTCATTTACGACGCGCAATTACGACGCGCGTTTACGACACGCAATGCGTATCAAGAAAGGCCCTGTCGTAACGTGATGACACGCGTGTTAATGACACGCGTTGCGTATCAAGAAAGCCCCTATCAAGAAAGGCCATGTCATTAATGAAGATGACACACATTTTTGCGTATCATAATTTTAATGTTTAAAAAAAATATTATTTATAGATTTACTTATTTTCAAATTAAATTTATATTTAATGTTTCATAATAGAAAATAAAATATCATATACAAAAAATAGAATCCATTGCATAAATTTAATGTCATACAAATAATCGTTCGAACGACTAAGGGGATCCGATTGTACATTGTTATTAAGAAAATGGAAGTATATTGTTATAGTTAAAAAATAAATGAGAGTACAATGTGCTACGTTTGGTTCTTCTCATAAAGTTTCCATCTTCAAGATTGCTATCCAATAAGCTTTTAGTATTTGCATGTAGAAATTCCATTGCAAAATGCACACCTGAGAGCTCAGAGCTCACATCCAGGAACAGGGAGGTCCCGTGGCTTTGTTGCCCCCACTGCTAAAATAACTGCATCATTCTCTTCATGAAAGCGTTCAATTGAGTACACCGGATCGCTTCCTATTTCCAGGACAGAGGAAATGCAAATATTATTACAACTCATTGTTTACCAACAAAACAAACTATATGATTATGATTACCTACCTAGAAAAGTGGGCCCTAGCAATCCAGAATTAGGATTTTGTTCTTTCTCCAATTAGATTTAAGTCAAGTGTGGGACTACTGCTTGCAAGAATGAAATGTTGAGGGCAATAATGCTCAAGATCAGCATAAACTTGCTTTCCCTCCACTGCCTGCCAACACACCAAAACTTTTTAACCTAATTACTACATTTTGATTCAACTCATTTATAACATAAATAATGGGCCTAGCTTCCACCATAATTTCACCTCAATCAATGTGCTCTAAGGAAAGGGTTTTGACCTATAATATACTTTCACTCTTTTTTCGTACACAAATCCATGAATATGTTTTTATTCGAAAACTATACGTATTTATTCAATAATTTGATTGGTAGCCAAGTCTTGAGGTTATTTTACACGGTTTTAATTAAAAAAGAAACAAAAGAGAGAATTGAAACACTAGAATACTATAGGTATTTTTTTTCTTTCAAAAATGTGATTCTTGCTCAGGGTTATATTAAAAAAAATAACCTATATAATTTCACACTTGTCGCAAATAAGCCTCTGAAGAATAACTATTTACATGAGCAAGTCCTTTAACTAAAAAATACCCCATTGCTTTTGTAGTGTCATGTGTTTGATACATATGATGCCACATGACATCGGTTTTTGTTTTATCATTTGTATTCGGCTACCAAGTTTCTGTTTGATACTTGTGTCACTAGCAGTCTACTATGACAAAAACCTCAACATCCGGTAATCGTTAAAGTTTAGAAACATACCTACTTCTCATGTGTTCCAATTTAAGAAATTTACATCATGCAATTCTTTTTCAGGGACTTATCTGCCAAAACCCTTGTTGTAACAGATGAATTATATGGTTGGGACTCAGACTCACCTCTACAACTAAATCCACATGTTTGAAGCTATCATAACTGAGTACACCCTTCAACAGAGATACAGTTCTTTCAAGCTTCTCCTTGGTCATTTTCCCTGTCATAAGATGGTTGTGCAAATCGGCTGAAGATGAAGATAACCAAGTAAGAATTATGAGTTGTGACCATACTTTTTAAGCTCATATCATGACTCACCTTTGATTTCACCAAGTGCAGCCTCCAGAGAATTCTCATCATCCTCCTTAAATATTACAGGAAAGTTAGCAAGGATAAAAGCTGTTGCTATTGCTATTGACCCCGGACCAATAGCACCAACTCTATTTACTTTCCTTGGCTGCAACCCCATATTAGTTATACCTGAAATCTATAACTGCTTTTAACAAGTCATGATCTCATCAACATTAACTGTTAGTATAAGAAAGGTTTCCAAACCATACTCCAAACTTTGGAAGTGTTATATCAAGCAAAGAAGTTGTGGACCAAACTTTTACAAGTTTCAGATTGCCAAAGTTCATTCAAGGCCTCTGCTTCATGCCACCAGAATCATATATTTCAAAATTACCAACAAAAAAATATGAATAATAAATATTAGTTTCAACTTACAACTTACATAATATTTGTTGCTTTTATATTTGAAATAAAAGTAAAAGAAAATATAAACAAGACATAAGTACTCACCATACTAGTATGTTGACAGAATCGTGATGCACTCAGTTGGCTAAACCATAAGAAAAATATAAAAATTATAATATGTATGAATTATGAAGAATGAAGGATTATATATTTTATGGTTTAAATTTGGTGTTATAAAAAAACGGGGGGGGGGGGGGGGGAATATAGCATTACAAATATACCTTCACTTCGAGTGGGTAATTCCTCAAGCTTCTTTAGTGTCTCATCACCTTTAGTAACTTTACCAAATATCGTACACTAAGCAAGATATTTACCAAAAAAGTTAATAGATTTTTTTCCCAAAATTTTCATTTGCATCAATTCAAAGAAAGTCAACAACAGTCAAACCTGATGATGAAGGTGTGGAGCATCTCCAAGAAGCATTGAAAACGATAATTGAGCACTATTCGGATCTGAAAATCTAAAAAATAATTCAAGTAGCTACATCATTCCTTTAAAGGTGCAAATAATAAAAAGTAAATGCCATAATTGTAATTAACTTATAAAAATATAGGCATAATAATGTTAGTTACTTCATATGCACAAGACCTGGTGGTGGTTCGGTTGTGCTGTCAGATGAAGATTAAATGTGAGTAAAAATTAAGAATAAAAAAAGAATTTAGGATTATGTACCGACGATATGGTGAAGGGTGAACCCGGTTTTTTTGTGCTGCGACACAGGGGCTGATTAGTAATCCTGGTGTCCTCCAACTTCTATAAACAACATATAGATATGAAAGATTAATGCAAAGGTAAAAATTTACGAAAAAATTGCATTTTATGATTGTGTCATATTGCATAGTTCAATAAAAATAAAAATAAAAAGTTGTCATATATACTTTTGTAATTTTATAATCATATAACATTGATATATAGTAATTATTTGAAGTGTGAATCCAAGACAAAAAGGGCCAAATGACAAAAAAAAAAGATGATATAATATAATTGTTTGTTGACGAAAAAAAGCAAAGGTTTTATCATTTATGAATATTTTATGAATATTCTGTATAAATATAAATACACACCTTTTAATACACAAAAAATAATGCTATATTATACCAAAAAAAATGCATGAATCCACTTGTCAATCAAACACAGAGTAGCAAATAAATAAATATGAAATTAATTAAAGAAAAACAAACCTAGGAATCACGAGCATGTTTAACATCGGAAAGTTTGGAGAACATGGGCATGGCTCCCTTCCGATCAGGCACCTGTATGCTACAATCAATATCTTCAATCACAACAGCAAATTAAAGAGTGGGGGCAACATAAAACATACATCCTGAAACAGTAACACACATATTTTATAAATAAAAAAAGTATAAAGTTTTATGAGAAACAACTTGATCAAAGTGTTCAAGTATAGCTACAAGTTTTTGTTTTTCTTTTCTGTTAGACATGAGAACCTTTTAAAATATAAAGATGTTATCATATTAATAAGTTGCACTCCAACAAAGCTCCAAATGCAAAATCAATAACAAACTAGGCCCAAATAACCTTCAAAACAGCTCCAGGGGCAAAAATGTCATAAAATGCCAAGAGACAACAGGATGCAATGTATGAACTGGGAAATAAACACAAAATATTTGAAGCTAGCACCTGGAGAGGATATCCATAAATAGAAATATCCATGAAGCTTATCCAAGTAAAGATGTAACAGAGGCAAACACATATGCAGTATCAGAACTCCATCTTATTGTTTGATTAGAAGTAGAAGCATCAGTATCACGCCTCACATGGTTAGAATTTGGAATGAGAAGAACAGAAAAGATTTGGTGTCCACTAAAACGTATTTCAACATCTAGATGCAGAATTAGTTTCAAAAGTTCAAGAAGAAGATCATCAGGGAACACCTAGCATAAGAGAGATTTTAGAAAACTAAACTTTAATTTTGAAAAAAAAAGTTTGATGATTATGCTCACCTGTTGTGAATTTGAGGAAACAGATGCTACAACAATCATGTTTGCAAGAATGATCATTGATCCAGTAGTTTCCCTAGCAGCAATACTACTAGGTGGTAGTTTCTCAAGTGTTGTTGACATTACATCAAACAATGAGCATGCATCAAGAATCTAGAAACAACATAATACAAGTTTAAGTTAGATTTCTACAGAGAAAGTGCAAACCACAAGTCACTACAAAAATATATTATAATGAAAATTCTTTTAATATAATCATTAAAAAAAACTGAACGTCATACCAGGCATACCTTGGAAAAACCATCAAAGAAATATAAATCATTTTACAGAATTCAAAATCCCTAATTTACAGAATCTTAAAGATCCTTAATTAAACAGAAAACATACCAAGGATTCATGTATAATAGGAAAAAGGGACATTCGTATGTTGAATCTTTAATAGGGTATCAGGAGTAGTGATAATGATGTATTCTTTCCATATGGTGAATCCCCAAACTAGGTCACCTTTCTTGAAGTTTGAATGCCCAGATTCTACAACTTTAGCTACTCCATATCCTGTTATTAGTTGCAAGTGACAAAAGCTAAATGATAATTTGGTCATCAAAAATATTTTCTAGAAGAAAGAAGAGAATTTATATGTTGGATTTGAAATGAAAGATATTGGACAACGTAAACCCTTCTTTTAAAATGCTTCATTGCAAGCCAATACACTAAGGAAGGTAAAGATTTGTAAGAAGATTGAGTTCTCTGATTCAATTGAAAAGATTGAGAGCTCCAATTCAAATTTTAAACTTGAAATATACAAATGATTGGGAAGAGATTGGATAACATAAAAAAGAGAGAAAGGACTATGAGAAACAGATATACATACCTTCTGCCTCCCGAGTCTTTCATTTTCCTCTTCCAAATGTGAGATTTTCTTCATCGACTGTCTTCTTGGTTAAATCCTTGGTGAATGTAAGGCTCAATTATCTAGGCAAAGATGAAGCAGAAGCAAGTTGGGTGAGTTCGGAGTAATCAGGGGAGGAGCCATTGTTGATTCCATGATTAGCTTCGGCACACCAAACATTCATTAGAAACTCATCAAGGTTCATACTACTGAAAGGTTTCCCTAAATCGACTAATTGTTGCTGAACCTCATCTAAAGTTAGGTTATGCAGAGATCCTTGCATTGAGAATCCATTGAACATAGGTTTTCGTGTTCCACCGTTCGATCCCTTTGTTTGAGTCCCCATACACGGATCACCTGACTATCTTACTAATCTCACAAATCAAACTCCAAATACCAATAATCAAAGTAGCAATTAGTAAACGCCTTTTTGTAATTAATCAAAAAAACCCTATATGAACTCCTAATCTGAAATGTTACGGAAAAAACCCTCAATTCAGACGAATCGGAAACGGAATACTAATCAGAGTTGCATCATGTCGAGTACCAATCTTTAGATTAACAAAAATAGGGGAAAATGAGAAAATCGGCGTTATTTTGAAACAACATTACAGAAGAAGAAGAAGAAGGAAGAGAGTATCAAGGCGAGGTTTTAGGGTTTCTTTTGATCGATGAAGATTTTAGGAACTTCAAGTATGAAATTATCTATCTTTTACGCACAATGCTTTTAGGGTTTCTTTTGATTGAAGAGGATTTTACAACATACGAAGAAGAAGAAGGACGAGAGTATCAAGGCTTTTAGGGTTTCTTTTGATTGAAGAGGATTTTACAACATATGAAGAAGAAAAGGATGAGAGTATCAAGGCGGGATTTTTTTTTTTTGGATTTCATTCCCCCCTTTGTCAATTAAAAATTTGGAGAACGCGCGTTCATAAAGAAAAATATAAAGCGACAGTTTTAGACGACACGCTTTTTTATGATAGGTGCCCTCTGTGTTTTTAATTTTTTTTTGTTGGACACTATTTTTGGGGCACGCACAAATGCTTGTCGACTACCCTTCAAATTTTACAAAACTGACATCACTTTTTAGGGCACACACGAATGCGCATCCTCTATCAGCGAGTGTCATTGTTTGCGCGTCATTAAAGGGTTTTTTTCTAGTAGTGACCGGAGACTCGCAGTACGCTGGGCCTACGAGACGTGGCATCTGCTTGGATCTTGTGCCATGGATGTGTCATGAAAGCGTAATACGTTTCTACATGCGAAGGAGAGGGGGATGTGGTCGACTCTGGATTGATTAGGTGCGAGGTACGCGGGGCGTAGCCTCGTGTATGCTGGGCGTACGACTTCAGACCATTTTCGAAGTTTGTGCCTAGAATTTCAAAAATCCATATCTTTCGCATACGAGCTCCGTTTTTAAAATTCCTTATATCCACGCGTAGGTGAAATTATGCTCTATAACTTTTGTTTAGACTCCATTGGCTAATTTTCACTTCATTTTAAATATTATATTTTTAACAGGCCGGGAAATGAAAAGTCCGCTAAAAATTCATAACTTCTTCATTCGACGTCCGTATCCTTCTGTCTTTTTACCATTGTACTACTATTGACAAGATCTTAAATTCTCATTTAGGTTGTGTCAGCTAAAAATCACTCGATCTGCATTTCGAGTTTCAAGTTGAATATTGTTATGCCGATTCTTAGAAAAAACATAACTTCCTCATACGAAGTCAGATTTGGATGTTCTTTTTATGAAAGTTCTCAAATTAACGAATACTATGAATTTAATTTAGATCATTAAGTCTAAAAACTAGTTTATCGTAAACTCACTTTTTACGTCATACGGCGTCGTGCCGGTTCTGTCGCGAAACTTCAATAAGTTATAACTTCTTCGTTATAACACAGATTTCGATGAGGTTTTCGCCTAAACGTTTCTAACGAGATAATTTAAAACTTTCAATAACATTATTTTTAATTATTTCCAACTTAAACTTTACATTTTCGTTAATTTTATTATTTGACTTTTGATCGGAATCTCATAAGACTTCCAATACTTTTCTGAATGATTTTGAACATATTTTTACTTCAATTCTCATAAAAATATCTTGTTAGAACTTAATCCTCAAAACCATATATTATTTAATAATATTCATTTTAAAACTAACAAAACACGATAACTGAACGTGTATGTTACAAATACCTCATCCTTTTGAGGATTTCGTCCCCGAAATCACAACGATTTAAACAAATGGGGAGATTTTGTTCTTATCTCATTATTATTTCCTTAAGTATAATTTAGGTATCGATGGTGTTTCTACTTGACAAGCACCAATTCCACTTCTTTATTACGTAATTCAGTCGTTCTTTCGTTTACGATCTCCGCGGGCTCTTCTACATATCTTAATTTATAATCTAGTTTCACCTCGGATAATGGGACTATTTTATCATATATGCTTAAACATTTATGCAAATAACTCACATGAAGCACATGATGAATATCTGCCAAATCTTCTAGCAATTCCAAACGGTATACTTGCTTACCAGTTATCTGAATGATTTTGAAAGGTCACACAAATCTAGGATTGAATTTTCATTTCTTCCCAAATTGCATAATGCCTTTACATGGGGATATCTTCAACATTACGAATTCATCCACATGGTGCTCTATAGGTCGTCTTCTCTTTACTGCATAGGACTTTTGTCGATCCTGGGCCGCTTTCATTCTTTCTCGTACAATTTGAATCTTGTCAGTGGTGTCTTGAATCATTTCAGGACCACCAAGGACTTTCTATCTAACTTCACATTAATATAATAGAGTACGACATTTACGCCCATATAGCGCTTCATATACCTTCAGTATATTTTCTACTGTTTGGATTGTTCTCTCCATCTGACCATCTGTCTGGGGCTAATAAACTGTGCTGAGATCAACATGAGATCTCAATTCACATTACATACCTGCCTAAAAGCGAGAAGTGAAGTGATTATCACAATCAGAAATAATATTTAGTGGCACACCATATCTCGCAACATTTTCATCCAAGTATACTTGTGTGTATTTCTCCATTGGATCCGTTTCACGTATGGCGAGAAAATGTGCACTCTTAGTCAGGCGGTCGACAATTACCCAAATGCTATCATGCTGTCTAACAGTCTTTGGCAATTGGAGCAACACTAGAGATAAAGCTAGTTCAAAATTCTATTTGCCTATCCGGGGGAAGTCCAGGCAAATCATCGGGGAAAACATCAGGATATTCATTAACAATGGGAACATCATTTACAGTTTTCTTACCCTCTTTTGAGATATCAAATGTATAGATAAGTAGAATACCCCTTCGATATAAGTTTACGAGTTTTTAGGAAAGAGATTATTTTTAAGATTTTAAGTCTTTGTTTACCGTAGACGTAAATATGATCCTTCCTTTTGATAGGGATGCATACCATCTTTTGTTAACAAAAGAGTTCTGTGTGGTTCTTTAACAACCAATTCATACTGAGAATAATATCAAATGTTGGGAAAGAAGATAGGAATCAGATTAACAAGAAAACTATAACCTTCAGTTTCTAGACTTTTATCAGCAAGTAATGATACACTTCCCATGGTATCTACATGAAATGATTGGGCAAATGTATAACAATTAATTTGATAAGAATGTGCAATTTCATGAGACACAAAAGAATATGAGGCATCATAATCAAATAAGATGTGAGCAGGTCTAGAGTTTACGAGAAATGAACCAGTCACAACATTCAGGTCCTCGCATGCCTCTTCTATGGTAATCTGATTTGTACGGCCTTTAGCTTTTGGTTTTCTAAACGATTCTCAAACTCTTCAAACTTCTTAATTAATGACGGTGTTCAAACCTGCCCTCACTCTTCATTATCTTTTGGGATTTCGGTCCTAATCCCCGAGTTAAAAACTTAATTCTCATTACAGTGTAACAAACCATTATTTTAAATCTATGTAATAGTTTAGATCAATTTGTAATTCTTTTTAAAATAATAAAGAGAAATTTTTTTATATACTATGAACATTTACATAATCGACCCTCAAAAGGGAAGTATTAAATAATCTTGATTGGGATAGACAAAGTAGTAGAGATTGTAACAAGGTTTCCAAAAATATAAAGAACACTAAAATCCGAGTTATAACGAAGAAGTTATGATCAATCGAAGATCCGTGACAAAACCGACAAAACACTGCTTAGTATAAAAAGTGAGTTTTCAATAAATTGCTTTTTAGCCTTAACAATCTAAATGAAAGTTGTAGAATACGTTAAACCGAGAACTTTCATAAAAAGAACTTCAAAATCTGACTTCGTATGAGGAAGTTATGTTTTTTCTAAAATTCAGTATAACAGTATACAACTAAAAACTCAAAATAAAGATCAAATGATTTTTAGCAGACACAACCTAAATTCGAATCAAAGGTCTCGTCAATAGTAATACAACGGTAAAAATACAGATGAAAACGGACTTCGGATAAAGAAGTTATAAAATTTTAACGGATTTTCCTGTCCCGGTCTGTTAAAAATAAAAATATTAAAACTAAAGTCAAAATTAGCCGACAATATCTAAACAAAAGTTGTAGAGTATAATTTCACCTACGTGTGCATATAAAGAACGTCAAAAACGAAGCTCGTATACGAAAGTTATGAATTTCGCAAGTTTTGGGCACAAAAACCGAAAAATCTTGAAAACCAAGAAAATCCGCATGGCTGGGATTCGGCCATGTCGCCTCGCATGCGAGATCGACCCGTGTCCACCTCGTGTCCATCGCTGATTTGACCGAATTCACGACCCAAATGAGAAGCCGACGCGCCTCGCAACCGTGGAGCAACCGAGGTGAGATGCGTGTGCAGCCCACGAGACCGACGCCTGGCCTCCCCCTCCCACCCGAAGCCGACAACTACCCCCCACCCCCCCTTCACCACCTGTCCGAACACATGTCCCCTCCTCCCATTTGGATCCGAGGCTTCGACCCTATATATACCTGCGAGATCTCCTGGTTCCATTTCTAATTTTACACCACTTTC